AGCTTGCCTGCTGAAAAAGCAGTTTTGTAGAGTCCGGCAGTTGTTTTTTTTTTTTAAAAACCACAGAATAAACATCAAGAACACCCAAAACACCCACTCTCTCATTTTCCATTCAGGTTTCTCAGAATTTTCAGAGGCATTCATCGGTACAGTCAAGCAAGGAGCAGTGCACTTAGCATCACAGGTTCATCCTTCCCTGTAAAGCCTGGAAGCAGCAGCTGATGCTGAAGTTGCCCCTCTCCTTGTCCCCATAAGGACAGAAATCCCACAGTCTTGAAAAAGAGCCAGATGGGACAGGAGATTTGGCTGCTGAGAGACCCAGAGCCACCAATTTCTAGCTTCATCAAATCAAGCACTCTCATAATTAGTGGCTCGTTTTATGATGAGCTCTCCCAGGTCGCCCAGATCAGTCTCAAGATGAAGGGGTACCTATTAATGTGGTCCAATGCATTTATTGACAGGGTAGGACTCTCACCTCAGAAGTGTTCTCCGTACATCCTCACTGGAAGAATTATTTGTGAGAAACAATTCCCAGGATTAACTCCTCCCTAACATGCCTTTACATTAATTAAAGTTGTTAGCTTTTCCTGCTAAGCCCCTCCTCTTTAAGTAGTAGCTGCCAGTGGTTATGTTACCTACAGAAGAACTTCTGGAGGTGTTCCTGGCCTGGGATGAGTCAGGCCTTAAGGAGATACAATGACCATCACCAAATTCTGCCGTGATCTCAAGGAAGCTCTTACTGAAAATTAAACCTTATGACTTCTCTGCACAATCTCTAAAATTTGGAAAAGAACTTTACAAAAGATGAGGATTCACAAAGGAAGCCATTTGGCAACACACAGGAGAAAAGAGCCGTCTAAAACTAAGTAAAATTTAATCAGATGTGCAAAACCAAAATATATTTTCACACTCTTGATGGGGAGAGAAAGGAATGTTCCAGGTTATTAATATTTACCATTTACTAGCATTTTTCTATAAAACTCCAGGATTTTCACATAATGCTTAACCCATAACTGCTTTGGATTGAAATTTAATTATTCTCTTGTTAAAGAAAAATTGCCTTGCAGGCTGTGCAAAAGTAAGACATTTTCACATTTTTCCCTTTTTTAAAACTTTTTTTTTGCCATTTATATGCACTATAGCATATATATCATTCTTCCCTACCCATTTTTTTCTGAGTCTCTGTCCAATGAAAGTAAGCAACTGCTTTTCTTTATGCTAAATAATACCCACAGTAAGCTACAACATAAAAATGGCTGAGTTGAGCTGTTCTTTGTTGACTGCCCTCAGCCGAGAGCCACATTCTTCCAAAGCAAGCAAGCTTCTGTGTATCACATCATTTAAGAGACACGGACACAAAATGAAAACAACAAAAAAGAAGGAAGCAAGACAAAGGGTAAAAAGGGAATTACTCTGGGGGGAAAAAAAAAGGTGTTTCTACATGGTTATTTGAAAAACTCAAAAGCTGAATGAGCGCAAATAAACTCCTCTCAAGACTAGCACATGAAGCTTCACAGACATATGTGATTAAAGTGTTTTTTATAGCCTCATGGAAGCCTATTGGGACAGCTATGAAATGCTACCCATGCCAGTCTTCAACCCTAGATTACACTCTTTCATCTGCCTAAAACCTGTATATCCCCCTGCCTTTTCAGAAGAAAGCAATACAAATTCCGACACGTGGGAATGAGCTAAACCAGCCCTCCCAAACCAGATCATCTCGGAGCACGGGTTTCCAAACAGCAATGAGAGGACCAGCAGCTCACAGCTCACGCGTGGCCCAACTTGGAGCTGGAAGCTGTCTACCACCACTGCTGCTGCCGCCAACAGCAGTGCTGGGATAAAGGCATTGGGAGCCCCTATTCTAGACCGAATTCCACATCTTTTGTGAAGTGCCAGATTGGCCGTATCGCAGACATCCAGGTTAATCCTTCCTGAGGAGGGAGAGGGGGAGCACTTGCTGCAGTGCAGTGAACAGGGACAGAAACCAGTCACCTGCAAGTGACCTGGAGAGGATTTGGTGCTGGCAAGCATTGATTGTGGAGACATGAAAAACCAAAGATCCACAATAGCTGACACTGTTAAATCTAGATTAGAAATTATTTCATTACCTCCTCCTTTCTCTTAACCCCATACTACAGCTTATTTCCCTTGTACTGCTCTGTACCAAGATTCTGCTCAGAACCAGCTGAATCCCAGAGGATTCTTCCTCCAGTTCCCTCTTAATAAAGCTCAACATCTATGGTTTCAAGAAATGCCAGCCTTGTCCTAACGGTTCCCATTATAACTCCAGCTACACTCTTCTTTGGAGCAGTTTCAGAATTTGGCAGCGCACAAAGTCCCAAGCCCAATTCCCGCTGCCGTTTTGAACTCCATTACTGGTATTGCATTGCAATACTATCTTACTAACCACCGAGTCAAAAAATCAGTGTTGTTTCAATAATGGTACATAAGATGCTTATCAATGAATGTAGAAACCTTCAAGAGACAAAGGCCTTTGTCTATTTCTACAATTAAAATAACCATATAATATACTAATGCAAATTTTGGAAACTTGCTTATTTTCTTTATCATCTTCTGCACTACAGCATATGGTCTTGACGCTGCCACAGAACTGTATACACATAAGTCTTTGCTGGATCAAGTTCCTTGCTGAATTACAACTGCCATATCAAATTCTAAATGAGCCTACTACGTACTCACATACATGGCATTTTAGAATGATTCCTCAAATGTCTTACACCTACATTGTATTAAAATGTATGTTGTTGTAATTGATACATTTTATAAGAAAATTACTTAATGGTGAAGTATATCTCTCATGTGTACATTACAGGAATTTATATTGAAAGCATGTCTAGCACTTTACATTCACCACTTCTGGATTTTTTTTCCTGTTTTCTACCAAAATTATAACAATTGCTGCTATTTCTCCATGAACCCCCTCAGAAATAATTTCCAGCACACTCAGTGCACAGTACATTGCATGGGAGTTTGACTGATGTAAACCATAACTGAAATGTTGTGGTCAAGTTTCCAAACCTTAAGAGTAGCATTTATGAACATGTGGGAGCAATCTTTCTAAACTTTCACTGAAGTTACTTCAGTGCATATTTCAACAAAATCAGGAACAGAAGAAATGTCTTACCTACATACATTTTTTAAAAATAAATAAATCAAAGCTAAAGATTGCCTGATTCAAAACTCAAAGCTAGTACAAAGACTTGCCTTGATTTCATAAAATTGTGGACCTTCTGAAAAGTTAGCATGAAAAAGAATTCATTTCAAAAATGATTTGATTTTATATTAGTATTTCATTTCATAGAAGTCTTCCCAGCAACTAAACCAAAGTGACTGCATTTTTTTAAGCACATTCTTCTTTCTGATAATTTACTTCTCTACTTCCATGACACCAATCAACCCTCTGGATTGTGCCTGAAAGGATTAGTTTAAAAGGGGCTATTACATATTTCTCTTTCAGAATATGTGGAAGAGAGAGTGTATTTCTTTCTGGTTCTAGTTAAAGACTGACTGCAACACAGTGATTCACTTGTGCAAATATTATGTACTGGCAGGATGTTAAGGGGCTTACACTTGAGAATACTTCATGTTTATTCAAGAGAAACTACCCTGTAAAGGAACATGTGTCTCAAATGAAGGTTCATAGGTCTTTGCGTGATACTCCTACCAAGTGAACCAAAAAGAAGACGCAAACTGGGTCCAGCCAAAAGACTGTTCTAATGTGCAAAAATGTTATGTATCCTGTATCCATACAATGCAGCAACGCTTCAGCACATGCTGCAGAACTACACAAGTTTCACATTGATCAGGCACTGGCTGTCTAATTTATTTGAGATATGTCTAAATTTCCAACTACACATCCAAAGTTTAGGACGTTTCATGAGGCATAGCCATTATAGAATGCACATAGAAAATAGATACTTATGATGTATTATCAACAAATGGCTACACTTTGGGACATTATCAGGCCCCATACTCTTAAAGCTCAGTTTAGCTAACAGCTATACCTGCAAATTGAAAAAGTTATTTCCATTTTCTTTACAATACACAGCACAAAAGAAGACTCAGCATGTTACCTCAGTTTCTGGAGTAGGAGACGGAGTAATGGAACCAAGTGATCCTTTTTGGGAGCCCTGGAGATCTGTTGGGATGGACACAGGTCGCTGCCATTGAGTTGTTCCTGTTGGTATGTGCCAGTAGTAGATCCCAGCAATGTCATTGATTTTTTTCCATCCAGGTGGTAAGTCTGGGTCTGTCTGAAAGGAATGATCACTCCATATATCTGCTGGGAACAGGGGAAAAAAAAATAAGAAAATAAATCAATGTTACTAAGACATGCACAGTTTTTTCCATGGGTCTGTCCCTGATGCATGTGAGGAACAGCTGACAGTGCTGTTATACAGTTCCTGTGTAAAGGAACACCAGAAAAACATACTAAATTATTGAGGCTAAAAGTAAGGTGACAAAGCCTAGTTTGGTTTGGTCTGTAAAGAAAGGATAAAAAGACACTACTTACCAAATAGCTGTTCTTATATGGAGCTATTTAACACCATCAGATAACTAGCTCTTCTAATAAGGTTTAGCTTCGGGTACATTAAATCACAGCACATAAGGAACTATTTGGAGTTGTGGCATACTCTGTCCTCTCCATCACAGCACCTTCCCTTCTCAATACATTGTAACAAAACATATATTTCTGCTAATCAAAGTCAGCTTATCAAAACAGACACCCCAAACACCAATCAAACAGCCTGCACTGGGTTTATTCACAACACCTAAAAAACTGCTTGGTCAAAATGATGAGAACAAAAGAACTGAGTGATCATTTTGCACGCACCATGATAGCCACAAACATACATTCTGCTTCCTATCGTTTTTACCACGGCTTAGGGGAAAAAAATAATCAAAAAATCATCCACAATGCCAACACAGAGATGCAAGACTACTGACAAACCTCCTACTGACTTATGAATGTGCCACCAGCAATTAATGTCATAATTAGAGACATTCCCAGATTTACCTGGGATTATAAATGTGTGTAAGAGATGTCATCAGTGGAGACAATGCAGTGCTTTTTAGAAAGGCAAGAGCATCACCTATGTGCAAAGCAACTGTACCCCAGAGGAGCAGTTCCCTTCTGCTGGACAGATGCTTTCCAGAGGCTGGAAAGGGACCCAGCACTCCTCTAAAGTTCTCAGCTAAATGCTTTGGGGGTGTCATTAGGGTACATGCTGTTAACCAACCTTCAGTGGGTGACATATGAATAACCTGTTCTTATACTGTTGCTCTTAATCTCTATTTTAATTAGAAGTTTCTTGTTAGTCTATCGTCAAGCCTCTTACTAGGTGTTTTATCATGGGTGCTTACTTCTGAATCTCTCTCATTTCTGCTGTCCACGTTTACGCACATGCACACAAACACACACACAAGTAGTGTGATAATTTGAATTAACTCATGGCACAAACCAGATTATTTCTTCTCCAGAGCCACTCAGAGTTCTTAAGTTACTGATTTACCACCTGAAGACTAATCTGAGCAAATTCTGCAGAAGAACTAGACAGTATCATTACAGTTAAATTCAGTAATGAGCCTCACCTATGGCCCAATATGTGAAATTAGCAACATTCACACAATCAGTTCCAGAAATTCCCAAGTATTTTAAACACATGCCTCTAAATGTCCCCGTTGCAGTTTCTACCTCATTCAAGTGTACACAGTTTCTGGCCCCAAGGTTTTACATGTTTTAAAGCGCATTCATCTTCAGCCTTGCCCATTTCTATTTTCCAACTGAACAACTCAGCTGCTCTCTTCTCAATCATATAAAAGGAAAATAAAAGCAAAACACTTGCAATAATTTGACCACATCATGCAAAAAGTGACGTCCAAAGATCAAATATCTCAACATCACACTGAAGTATGCGTGGCAACATCTACAAGTCCAGATATACATGGCTAAGTTTAAAGAACTGATTCATAAAATTAAAAAATACTACAATAATGTCAGCATTTATAAAACTTACATATTGGCCCTTTCAACTCATGCTGGAATAGGAAAATAATAAGCTTTTATTAAGCAGAGAGGCAAAACTTCAGATCAGCTCAGGTTCATGCAGTTTACAGTATTAAACAATACACTTCAACATTGCCAGGACATAAAATGTTATTCTCTTCACTCTAAAATAGGCATCGTTTCTGTCCTTGCTATACGTACATGTATATGTGTAAACATGTATTTAAATATAGTTAGTGAAGTGTAATGCTATGGCTGCATTAAATTACTCCTTTCAAACCAATCAAAGATGCAGAGGAACCAATCTACTGCTGTTTATTGTAACGATGCACAGTACCAGCAAGACCTGAACAGAAATTACTTTGAAGCAAAAGAGACAAAAGACAGCAGAAGGAAAATTTTTAACCACGAGACTTAACATTTCTGCAACATTTAGTTAAGAAAAGAAGAAATCATCTTGTATGTGGATGAATACTTGGAAGGAATTAATGTAAAACAGCTAAGAACACTCTGAGATAAGAAAAATATCACCTAGCCAAGTAATATTTATCTACTTTGGAAACTTATCCACTAGCAAAAAAATACAACAAAATATGTTTGCATATGGTCTGAGATAAAACACTAATTAAACTTCAGATTTCTTTGCAATTAACAGAGCTCAGATTTCAAAGCACTGTATTTTCCAAGCAAATACCGTAACTGACACCTGTGCAGGAGATGCACACTGCTGGTGCTGGGGCACTCCTTGCGCAGGAGCACTGCGGACAGCTCAGGAAAGAGCCAATCTCCCGTGGTCAGACTGAAACATCACCCTCCTTGTTAGCTTTGCACACCTGCATGGAAAAACACGTGTGTTCCCTCCAGCCTCTTTGTGAGTACACCTCAGGATGGGACAGAGCATCAGGGATGACCTTTTCACAGATTTCCTACTGGCATGAGCTGGAAAGCCTCCTCACTTTGCCGACTCTTCTACCAGATGAAAGCGCTCAGTGTTCACATCAAGGGTAATGAACCATTGCAAGAGATAACAGCACAAGGCAGATAAAAGGAAGAGTCAACATCCAAAATCTGACAGGGCAGACGAATGTACTTGCCACATCAGAGACCTACTATAGGACACCAAAGGCTTTTCTTTATTTGAGTATTGGTGGCAAAATAATTATCTGAATTTGAAAGACTGCTCAATGGCATGACATTCAGAGTGTCCACTTTTGGTTGCATGGGCCACTTCAAGAATGGTCCCTTATCAGAGAAGTGTTTGGAGCCCAGAACAAAATGAAGGCACCATGTTGATATATGTATTTATTCATATACACATATACACACAAACAAAAATTCGAATATATATATATACACATATACACACACACACACACACACACACATAGATATATGAATTTTTGTCTGAATGGCTGAAACACAAAGCCTGTAATAAAAAGAACAAATAGTCTTCATCCCAGTATCACTGTAACTTCACAAAGCAGTTAAAACTTAAAAAACACTAGATAAATAAAGTTTGTTACACAAAATGAAACTATTAATTCACTCTTTTGAAGCAACTAGCAATAACTAGCAACTTCCCAAGCCCATAAACACAGCCATATTCAACTTGTAATTCTGGCTAGGAGAGCTTTGTAAGCACATTTTGTATTCTACAGAAGATTGAATAAAACCCATATAATGTAATATATTGCTGTTTGTAACTCCCTTCTCCAAATGTCAGTCTCTACCAATCACCTGATATAGAGCAGTGCTAAATTCCATGCTGCAGCTACAGTTCAGATACTAAGTTTGGTGCAATAATTAGAAGCTTTAGTAATAACATTTTTATTTCAAGTTAAAATTAATTTACTCTTCGAGGCTGATCTAGGAAAACAGTGTTATGACATTGAAAAGAGATGGTAATAAACAATATAAATAATTCATGGAAGAGGGCACATAATTGGTGACCAAGCTCTTTGGCAAAACTGGTATGTCTATCACTTATTTTACTGCTGTTTCAGAGGTAAAGACACCAATCAAAGTGCTGTCCTTATGAATCACTCTTGTTCAGTTAAACAGAAATTATAACTACAGCATTGAGTACATCTTTTGGAGCAGACAAACTTGTGCAGTATATGGAGACCATTAGTTTTTCCATCATTTTGCGATGCCACAGATTGTTCCTGTGTTAACAGGAATCCTATGCATGGCAAGGTCAACATTCACCAAGCACAGGTTGTATCGGTAGCATCACAACACATGCAAATATTATGCTCTGCACCTAAATGCTGTGCAGATTTCCAGCTACCGCTCTGGACACAAACACCATTCTCTGCTGATGTAATCTGTGCATATTTCGCAATTCGAGAGACTAAATACCATGAAGCTGAAGCAGTTTTTAGCCAGTTCAGGCTTTCTTCTGCGGCACAGCCAGAAATCCCTTTGACTGAAGACCAAAGGCAGTCGTTTAGAAGCAAACACAGATGGAAAGAGAAAGGCAGGAGCTCTGGAGATGCTTTTGGGAAG